CTGCCTTGTGCTTGGCTTATTGTTCACTTGGGCTTCCAAAGCAAATTTAAAGGACTTCTTCAGAATCCAAAGCTGGCCTTGGAGCAGATGCTGGCCTGCCCAGGAGCCAGGGTCCCTTCCTTGCCTGCACTGCGTGGCAGGTTTGTTTGGAAATCTGGGAGCTGCCACTTTGAAAGAGACTTTTCCATCAATAGCAAGTTGTAGTTTTCCAATGATAATGTGCTTTTGCAGGAGGAGGTTAAACCCAGATGATCCACATTTTCCTGTGTGTGGCTGAAGCTCAGACACAGTGTCCAGCATCCAGCTCTGCCTTGGGGTGTCCAGTACTGCTGCATCTGGAGTGTGGCATGGGATGCTGGGTTCCCTGGATCCCTGTTTGGGTATGGAGTGTGGCACTGGGATCCCGGATCCCTGTGTGGGTATGGAGTGTGGCACTGGGCACTAGGATCCCGGATCCCTGTGTGGGTATGGAGTGTGGCACTGGGCACTAGGATCCCGGATCCCTGTGTGGGTATGGAGTGTGGCACTGGGCACTAGGATCCCGGATCCCTGTGTGGGTATGGAGTGTGGCACTGGGCACTAGGATCCCGGATCCCTGTGTGGGTATGGAGTGTGGCACTGGGCACTAGGATCCCGGATCCCTGTGTGGGTATGGAGTGTGGCACTGGGCACTAGGATCCCGGATCCCTGTGTGGGTATGGAGTGTGGCACTGGGCACTAGGATCCCGGATCCCTGTGTGGGTATGGAGTGTGGCACTGGGCACTAGGATCCCGGATCCCTGTGTGGGTATGGAGTGTGGCACTGGGCACTAGGATCCCGGATCCCTGTGTGGGTATGGAGTGTGGCACTGGGCACTAGGATCCCGGATCCCTGTGTGGGTATGGAGTGTGGCACTGGGCACTAGGATCCCGGATCCCTGTGTGGGTATGGAGTGTGGCACTGGGCACTAGGATCCCGGATCCCTGTGTGGGTATGGAGTGTGGCACTGGGCACTAGGATCCCGGATCCCTGTGTGGGTATGGAGTGTGGCACTGGGCACTAGGATCCCGGATCCCTGTGTGGGTATGGAGTGTGGCACTGGGCACTAGGATCCCGGATCCCTGTGTGGGTATGGAGTGTGGCACTGGGCACTAGGATCCCGGATCCCTGTGTGGGTATGGAGTGTGGCACTGGGCACTAGGATCCCGGATCCCTGTGTGGGTATGGAGTGTGGCACTGGGCACTAGGATCCCGGATCCCTGTGTGGGTATGGAGTGTGGCACTGGGCACTAGGATCCCGGATCCCTGTGTGGGTATGGAGTGTGGCACTGGGCACTAGGATCCCGGATCCCTGTGTGGGTATGGAGTGTGGCACTGGGCACTAGGATCCCGGATCCCTGTGTGGGTATGGAGTGTGGCACTGGGCACTAGGATCCCGGATCCCTGTGTGGGTATGGAGTGTGGCACTGGGCACTAGGATCCCGGATCCCTGTGTGGGTATGGAGTGTGGCACTGGGCACTAGGATCCCGGATCCCTGTGTGGGTATGGAGTGTGGCACTGGGCACTAGGATCCCGGATCCCTGTGTGGGTATGGAGTGTGGCACTGGGCACTAGGATCCCGGATCCCTGTGTGGGTATGGAGTGTGGCACTGGGCACTAGGATCCCGGATCCCTGTGTGGGTATGGAGTGTGGCACTGGGCACTAGGATCCCGGATCCCTGTGTGGGTATGGAGTGTGGCACTGGGCACTAGGATCCCGGATCCCTGTGTGGGTATGGAGTGTGGCACTGGGCACTAGGATCCCGGATCCCTGTGTGGGTATGGAGTGTGGCACTGGGCACTAGGATCCCGGATCCCTGTGTGGGTATGGAGTGTGGCACTGGGCACTAGGATCCCGGATCCCTGTGTGGGTATGGAGCGGGGCACAGTGGTCCCGGATCCCTGTGTGGAGTGGCACAGTGATCCCGGATCCCTGTGTGGAGAGTGTCAGGGAGCGCTGGCAGCTCCATCCGCGTGTGTGGAGCACCACGGGGCGCTGGGAAGGCTGGATCCCTGCATCCCGGGCGCTGGCATCCCTGCCCATGTTCCCGATGCCCTCTAGTGGCTCTTGCCGCTGTGCTGCAGTTCCACAGGGCCCGGCCTGCAGCTCCAGTCGAACGGCAAAAGGAAAATACCTTTTGTGAATTTCTGCTGGTTACTTGTTAATTCCTCTTCCTTTATCTGGGTTAAATCCCAAGTCTTCCCTTGGGGAAAAAGGTTCTTGTGAATTCAGGTACCAGATCGTAACTGGATATCTGATGGATCTTTAAATCCATAGCAGTTTTCTGTGGGGATTTATTAAAGAATGTTTTGTTCCTTACATTAAAATGTATATTTTCTTTCTCTCTAAACAAGCAGTAACTGGAAGGGGTGTGCTTGCTGGTGTCACTAGGACCAGACTTTGGTGCTTATGTGTGTGCATTAATTGCTTTGAAAAAGTAATTTTTTTTTAAAGCAGTGAGGACAACACCTTTGAACTCATGCTCTCAAATAATTTTTAAGGGAAAATCAGTGTTTTGTAAAGGTCAGAGTCTCCCTCCCAGCTCCTTGCCTCCTCCAGTGTGGCTGGGGGCTGTGAGCCCGGCGTGTCCTGGGCTGCACAGACGCTGCTGCCAGTGTGCACAGCTCTCCTCAGCACAGGCAGACGAGATACTCCTTGAGGCTTTTGGGACAATCAACAGCTGGAGGAACAGCTTTATAGAAGCAGGGTTTAAATGGAAGTATCGGGCTTTTTTCCCTTGGGAGGACCGTGCATGCTGTGAAATGCATAAAATCTGTTAAAAGTCCAGTATGGTTTCCTTGCCTCTTTGGGGGAGTGGGTCTGATTGCCATCCTCATCCTCCCTCTGAGAAATACAGGGCAGGGACTTATGTGTACAGATTTACTTGTGTGTATTTGTTTCTTTTCGGGAATTCAGATAAACTGGTTGAACAGACACCAGGTGAGTCCATGCAGCTGGCAGAGTTTTCCCGGTGTTTGGACTGGTGTGTGCTTCCCGTGACTTCAGTCCCACACCGTGGCCGGCTCCTGGTCCGTGTGCTCAGCCTCCTCTCCCTCAGCCAGGTCTGGCAGGAGAGGGGCTGGAATGGCCGAGGGGGTCAAGGTGTGGGGGTCTCGGGCTGCCCCACGCGTGTCAGAGGTGGGGCAGCTCCCACCAGCGCAAAACAACCCCTGCTGGTTTTAACTGGCCCGGGGGCTGCAGCCCTGAGTTAGCTGTGGAAGAGCTGGCTGTGCCTGGGAGCTGCTGGTGCTGCTGGCTAACCTCTGAAGCTGCCCAGCAGTGTGAAACTCAGATTTTGTCTTTTTGAAGCACCTTTTCCTTGAGCTGGATGTCCCTGCTGTCTGAAGGGCTCTCGGGGGGACCTGTCCCTGCCAGGATCCCCTGGAGCACTCCCATCCATGCAGCCCCTGGCTGGCTTTGGCTCTTTGAAGTGCCCGTGTCTGGAAAGGAGAGCGGTGCCAGGAGCCACCTCTGACTTGCTGAGTGGGTGAGCAGGGCAGGGCTGCTCGGGGCTGTTGTGCCCAAGGCAGAGCGGGGATCCCGACACCTCCCTGCCTGGGGAGCAGGGCACCGACCCCTTGGAGCTGATCCCGAGCACTTGGCCACTGATGGTTCCTTGGGACAGCTCTCCTCTGCTTTGGGCTGCTCCCTGGATTGCTCCCTGCCCGTGCTGTTCAGCTCGGTGTGATCGTGTCCCAGCACGGTTGTTGAGGGTCAGATATCGGCAGGGATTACCCTTGGGTGCATCAAGGACAACCAGGGAAAGCTTCCTTGGGGATTTGGAAGGGAGAGTTGTTCTGGGACGGGAGGTGGTCAGTGCTGCCTGGGCCTTTCTGTGAAGGCAAAAACTGAATACTTGGGTGAGAAATTTCTGATCATTTTAACTGGTGACTAATCAATTACTGGAAATAAATACAGAGGTAATGGCTTGGCTTTCATCACTGAGCACTGAAGAAGTGCTGATGATTTGAAAAGGCACAACAGAAGAGATCTGAAAGGAAAATGACAATATCAGATGTATTTTCAATTTTCATCTGCTTCAATTAGAATTAAATCTGAAAAATTAAGACTAATACCTGCACATAAGGGGCATTTTGTTCCATGTGACTACACAGTCTCTGCAGGAACCAACCAACACAGGACAGGCAAACCATTCTGAGTCACCAGCCCTGTCTGTTGGGTTAAATCCTGAGAAACTGCAGAAGAGTTTCTTTTCAGAAGCCTTGTTTCACAGTAAAAAGTGGAGTAAAGAGTGGTCTGTATTTTCTTGTGAAGAAAGTATCATGGCAAAGGCTGGAAATACAAAGGCAAATTCACTCCTTTATTTCCTGTTTTAGAGGGAGCATGTGCCTCTGCTCTGTGCTGGAATCAGCCAGGACTGTTGCACAAGGTGTAGTGACCTGTCTTCAGCAGCAGGGAAATGGACTTGGCCCATCAAAAGGAAAATCCTTGGAGAGGCAACTTAAACTGAGAAATTGCTCTTTAGAGAGCAGCATCTTCCTTAAATACATCTCAATCTTTTTCTTGCCATCCAGCAATGGTTTTTGGTGGTTAATGGAAGTTATTCTGAGTTTTCTGGTGGAGATCTTTTCTGTTTCCCCTCAAAGCCCAGATAATACAGTTTTACAGACCACCTCCTCAGTCTAACAATAATTTAGCTTTCTAGTAACTGGTTCAAAGAATGTGTCATTGTTATTACATGCCTGCTTGGTACTGGAGGGTTCATGTTCCCCTACTACAAGCTTCTGTATCTACATGGTAGTTGCATGTGATGTCTCTGTGAATGTTGCAGTAAATGCATGGATTTTATAAGTGAAGGAAATTATTTAGTAAACAAGACAGAGTTGAAAAGGAGTCCAATCATCGTTGGGTTGTGTTTTGTGTAAGGAACTGATGAAAGGCTAAACACTGCTTTTGGGGTGGTTGCATTTTTAGACAGCAGTGGAAGCATACAGAACTGTTGTCTCTCCTTCCTGCAGCTCCAGGGTGTTGATGGAGTTATGATTCTCCCTGTACTGATGGTGATGGCGTTCCCATCTCCGAGCTGGCAAGGTGAGTGCTGTGTGGGGCAGGGTTCCCAGGGTGCTGTTTGGTAGCTCTTCCATCATTGCTCCAGTGAGGCATTGGCTTTGGAAAGTGACTTGTGTAATGGTTTACACAGCTGTGTGCACGTGAAGCTTTTGTGACATCACAATGTCACATGAGGTTTGCCTGAAAAAAAAGGAAGTAGTATTTCCACTGCCACAGAAAGGAAGGAATGGTTCACTTGAAGATCTCTTGGATGTTCTGAGAGAGAAGCCCCTGAAAGATGTGTGTACTTCACAAACAGCCTTTGGAAAACATTGAATAAAGGCTTTGTGGGAGTAACTTGGTTTTCTCAGTTTTATATTTTAACTTACTTGAGAGAGATCTCTGTGTCTGCTGTGGCATGTCTTTGTCATGCTGCAACAGCTGAATTAGAATTGTTACCTCCTACTTAGTGGTTCTTCAGCACTACCTGAAAACAATGTCACTTCCCTTAAGCAGATTTGATTGTCTTATGATTTCTTTACCTCTAACTGAAGCTGTTAGGAACAGGATGATGTTTTTTCCTCGACTCTTCCCTTTTGCAGATGATGAGCGGAAGCTCAAGATGATCCCCTACGAATGTGTGTGTGAAGGCATATCCTGTGGGAACGGGGATCGGTGCCAAGGCCAGCGCTGCTTTGCTTCCCTGAGCATTAATGATGGGGCCAAGGTCTACCAGAAAGGCTGCTTCCAGGTCTATGAGCAACGGAAAATGACCTGCAAAACGCCTCCATCCCCCAGCCAGGCCGTGGAGTGCTGCCAGGGGCACCTGTGCAACATGAACATCACTGCGCAGCTGCCCTCTTCCAAGGGTGAGCTCAGTTCTGCACTGGTGCCTTTCCAGGCAGAGGCTGTGATCTGCTGTGCTGGGAGAGAGATGACCCCAGTGCTGGCTGAAGGAAGGGTTTCATGGGCACAGCATGCCCTTGGTGCCCTGGTCCCCACCCTGGGGCCTGCTGGCACACCTCTGTGCCCACGGCTGGACTGGTCTCTGTGCTGGGGCAGTGAGGGTTGCAGTGTGTGGCTGGACTGGTCTCTGTGCTGGGGCAGTGAGGGTTGCAGTGTGTGGCTGGGGTCAGGATGGAGGCACTGCGTGTGAGAAGTGGCTCGGTGCAGGTGGGGGCTGTGCTGCTCCACAGGGAGTGCATCCTCCATGCAGGTGTGCTCACACCTGGCTGGGGCACGGCCTCTGTCATGCTGGGTGGGTACCGAGGTCAGCCTTGGTGTCACTGCTAATGGGTTTAAAGACTTTCTCTGGGAATCTGCAAAATTATTTTTTTCTCTCTTTTCACACCTTTTTCCCTTCCCCCCTCTTTTCCAAGGGCAAACCTTTCAAGGAGAAGCTGCAGGTTACAGCATGGAAACACTAATCATCGTTATCCTGGCTCCTGTGGTGGTGTTGATAGTTTTTTCTGCAGTAGCTGTGCTGATCATACGGAGAATACAGAAAAACCACATGGAGAGGCTCAATTCTAGGGATGCAGAGTATGGCACAATCGAGGGCCTCATTGCCTCGAACGTGGGGGACAGCACGCTGGCAGTAAGTGACCTGCCTGTGTGCAGGGTGTGAGTTTTCCTCACTTCCAAACTCCCCTCTCTTCCTTCTGTGTGGCTGCATCACTGAGAGCATGTTTTGATGCCAGTTGGCCTCAGGACTTGAGTGGTGCTGTTCCTGTGCTCCCAAAACTGTAGTACTAATGAATTTTAACCAAAAGGTGGGTTTGGCAAGTGTAGGTCCTTTGACCTGTACTGTGAAACAGTGTCAGTACATCAAAACAGAGTGTGCCTGGCTGTTGTGTGGCCTGCAGTGATGGCAGAGGTGAAGAACTGTGCTGCATGTTTGATATACAACAGCCTGAAGGGCTGGGGTATCAGTGACATTTTGCTGATGGAGGAGCAGTGGGAGTTCTAAGAAATGGGCAGTTCTTACTCAAAGCTCAGTTTTCAAAATACAATCTTACTCATGTGGTCTCTGCAAAATGTGATGAGCTGGGAAGTTCCCTTTCTGCAGGGTGACTGTCCCTTCCCCCTTCCCTGAGGCCAGAGCACAAATGTCCCAGCAGCTGTCCCTCACTTTATCTGAGCAGAGCAAGTAAAGCTTCAGGCAGGTGGAGTGTGTTTCTGAAGCAATGCAGAGTTTTCTCCTTGCATTGCAGAGATAAAATGTCCCCCCAGCATTAAGAGGCTGGAAGACATTTTCTATTTTGGTGCTGTCCCACCATAATGTGCTTTCACTGCAAGGAGTGGCCTGTGTCTGTTAATATTTTTTTTCTTTCTTTTTGTAATGCCTTTGGCTCTGTTTAATGAGCCCACAAAGGTTGATTCCATGTTACTGGTTTAAAACAGCCAGTCTTGATGTATCCACATGGCCCAGGCATGTGTGCAGCTGGTGATCTGTCCTTAAGCACTGACTTCCAACTTTTACCAGCTCCTCTGTCTTACCTGTGCAAGATCATTTCAAGCCAATTGCAGACCTTTTGTGCTTCTAGTTATTTAATGTTACTTGGAAACGGGGATAGCATCTGTGAAGAAAAAAATCACAATTCTGTTTCAAAGAGCTGGGAGAAGCTGGGAGCTGTCAGACCCTCTGAGCCAGTGCTGAGTGGTGCCAGTGCTGCTGCCCTGCCTCCCAGTGTGGCTGATGCACAACATGTAATTGGTGGCTCCTGTGCCCAAACATTCATCTAAACAGCAAGTCTTCTAGATTCCAGATTTTTCTTCTCCATTGTGTTTTAAGTCACTGGCTTTGTCACACATTAGGTAAGTTTACATTTAGGATTAGTCTCTGCAGTGTAGCAAGTGCTTAAAGCCCTAAGCTGCTTAGTGGAAGGAGCTCTGGCCTCTTCAAATCTTGTTTTTACAGTTGCTGTAGATAAGTTTGGGGATGGATTTTTGTTTTTGTTGCTTTTGTTTTGCTCTGATGCAAGCAGGAAGGAAAATGAGCCCTCAGTTTGTGTTAAAAAGTAAGGCAGTCTCTGTCACTCCCAGATTCTTTTTCTTGAGCGCTCGTTAAGAGGCTCTTAGAAGAAATGAGATTTCATGGATATCTGGTCCAAGCACTGCAATGCAGTTTTCTGAAATAATAGAAAGTTAGTTACACTTAGGCTTTTTAATCCTATTTTCCTTTGTAAAAAAGAGTCCAGCAATAGTTGTTAATGCTTTGAACTAATACAAAACTCCTGGCTGTAAAAGCAGCTGGACATTAGCATTTTACAAGGCTAATGGGATTTTAACATTCAATCAGGATCTCACTTATGTTTGTTATAAGCTTTACAGCTCAAAGTCTGCTTTCTATGCACTAAAAATACCAGAAACTGATAAAGCTTTTAAGAAAGATTTGTTACAGAAGTTTTTCTGGAGTGTCAGTGGCAAATCTTGTGTGATTTGCCACTGGTGATGCTGGAAAATCCCCTCACCTCATTAATTTGAAAACTGGTTTTGATTTTAAATACCTGCATCAAGCTTGAATAGGCTTCAGAAACAGAACTGAGAGGACATAAGGTAAGTAAAAGAAGAGTGAAGTGCTGAAAAAGGGCAGAATCTCCTGATAGAGGATAGCTGGTATGCCAGGAGTGGGCTTCCAGTGCAGACATCTGTAGTCATGTATTTATTACACTTATTAAAGAAATAATGACTTACTAAACAAATGCTCTTTCACCCCAAGTGACCAAATGGCATCCCCAGAGTCACACAGATACCCCGAGCTTTAACCTAACCTGTCCTTTGTGCATGTAAACAGGGAAAAATGGGGTTTCTCACGGGTCCTAAACTTCTGCTTTTCCTTCTGAACAGGATTTGTTGGACCATTCCTGCACATCTGGAAGTGGCTCTGGGCTTCCTTTCTTGGTGCAAAGAACGGTGGCTCGCCAGATCACACTTGTGGAGTGTGTAGGTCAGTGTCTTCTGGGTGCTTAGTTTTTTTGTAGGGCTTTAGTGTTAATTTTATTGATTCATTCAGTTTTTCTTCAGCATATTTTTATTATTAACTGCGTAGTGTTAATTGAGTTTAGGAGGCATTTGGGTCAAAGATACCTGGAGGCATTGACATTGAGCCAAGATTCGGTGCAGGCACTGAAGAGATGAGGAAGCTGTTGGGCTGAAAAGTTTGGCTTGCAGACAGTATGTCCTGATCTCCACAGGACAGGGCTTGGTTTTGGTGGGGCTGGTGGTTTTTAATCCTTTTTTTGTTTGTTTGTGGATGGCTTTAGGTTTTTGTTTTCTTTAAATCTTCATTTTGCAAGGGGTGATGATGGAATAGAAATGTAAGGGCTGTATCCCCAGCATTGCATTTCCTTCCTGCCCTCCTTGCTGCAGAATTCACAGCTCTGTGTTGGGCACGCTGACCTTGCCCTGTGCTGCCTGAGTCACTTCAGCTGCAAAACCACTTTCATTGTGTGGTGACACCTGCCAGTTCAACCCCTCTGTGCTGCACTGGTGTGCAGGGAGGGGAGATCCACACTCTCAGGGCTTGCAGGCAAAGCAGCCAGGAAAAATGAGGGATGCTGGAGCACAGTGTGACTCCAGTGGTAAGACCTGCATGCAGGGGAGGTCAGGCCAGCTGGTGTGGTGCTGGGTTCCTGACAGTCGAGTTCTGCCTGCTGAAGGCTGTTTGTTGGTTGACAGCTTCTCCTGTGCTTTCCCCCCACCAGGAAAGGGCCGTTATGGAGAAGTTTGGAGGGGTCAGTGGCAAGGAGAAAATGTTGCTGTGAAGATCTTCTCTTCTAGGGATGAAAAGTCCTGGTTCAGGGAAACTGAGCTGTACAACACTGTACTGCTGCGGCACGAGAATATTTTAGGTAAGTAGGACAAGCAGGTTCTGTATCCTGGTGTGTCTGGTGTAAAGGTGAGTTACCTGGACAGGTCACCTGTCAAGCACTGCACACTCACCAGGCGGCTCACAGTCTGCAGGTTCTTGTGTTCTGATAAAGAGCTGAAGAGAAATTTTCAGGGAGAGACTTCCAGGAGGGGCTGAGTCTCAAATGGGGAATGTGTCATAGCAGCTGAGACTTGCTGCTCTGCAGTATTCCAGCAGGAAGCAGTTAATCAGCCAGATGAATCAGGTGTTGGCAGCTGAGCACACAGAAAGCAGTGGAGGTGCCACAGAGCCCTGTGGAAGGGACTGGCTCCTGCAGCTCTCGTGGCAGAGTCCTGCCCAGTGTGTCAGGGGAAGCTCTGGTGGATCTGTGTTGGGTTGTAATCTCAGTTTCCCTGCAAGGGGAAGCTCTGGTGGATCTGTGTTGGAGGAAATGGAGGGAGAAAAGGTGGGGAGGAGTTCATAATGAGATTTAGGCATTTAATACTTTTCCTTATGGCTAAGTAAAGTGCAATATGAATCCAGTATTCTCTTCTGTTCAACTGTTCTGCTCAAGGTGAGAGTAAGCTCTTTTGGTGTTTAAACTTCAGTTATAGCTGCGTGATGTATCTTTTTCCCTGGAACTAGGAAAGTAAATGAACCTTGTGCATCACTCATACCTCATGTGCTTGGTGCTGAGAACTGGGAAAGTGGCTTTGTTGTGTTGAGCCATGTCTGAGGTTTAAGCAGCCCTTTGATTCCTCATAGATGTGCCCTGCTGTCGCTGGTATGCCACCTCTGCAAATAAAAGCAGCAGCACATTTTGAGTGCTGACACTGCCTCACCCAATATCTGTCTTCAGTCAGTTTTCCTTTGGCTCCTTTTTCTTGCTTCCTGTCAGAGAATGTTCCTTGGCTCTCTAGCTCACTCTGCTAGTCATTTGTGTGTTTCCTGAAGCAGTTCCTTTGCTGCTACAAAATAATTTGGTGGCCTCCTGAAATGTGAATTATTGAACTTCCCTTCCCAAGAGAGTAAGTGACTTGGCTGAAATTACATTGCCTGTTTTCCTTGATGCTTTGCCTGTGTTTAGTCTTTCTTGATGACTGTCAAATTTGTTGGCTATTTTAGAGACTTTTTTTAGATGCAATATTAAACAATATCACAGATTACAGAAATGTCACATTGTGCACAAGTCTGACTTTAGGAGAGAAGGCAGTGGATGTTCTTTCTGACAAATGTGAGCTTTTCATAAGCATGATTTGTTCCTCTGACTTGGGAATAAAACCTGTGTTGTTCCCAGCTAAAGCTGTTGAGGTCACTGTGTGGATATATGCAGAGGTGACAGGAAGGGAGCTTCCCCTGAATTTGGGGTCCAGTTTTAAGACATGGCAATTTTGAAGGCAGTTCTTGAGGTTCATGAGTTTTGAGTTTTGAACAGAAAATTTTCTCTTGTTTCTTCATAGAAGATCATTGTGGTTGGGCCACACATTTAACCCTGTTCTCAGCAGCCTGCACTGGCTGCCTGTGGACTCTAAAAATGGAAATGGTTGTTCCTGGCTTGATGTCTGAGGTGTTTCTGCTTTCCAGTGTGACCCTCTCAAGTGGGCAGCAGCAAATGTGCTACAGACTTGGGGTCTTTCTGCTTGACTGGGAACTTCCCCACCCCCAAGTCCTTCAAAAAGAAGGAAAAATAAAAATATTTTTAAAGTGTGTGGTCCTAAGAAGTAGTTTTTCGATGAGACTGACAAATATGTGAATGGGTTCTTGTGAATAATGTGAGTTAGAGCTCCAGCATTTCCTTTCATCACAGCAGTACCTGCAGTTGTCTGCAGTGCAGTTGTAATTAAACAAGTTGTGCATTGCACGAGGGGCCAGCAGTGTTGATCACAGAATATCCAGAGCTGGAAGGGACCCACAGGGATCATGGAGTCCAGCTCCTGGGTGGATAGGCTGTATGGGGTCACACCCACAGCCTTGGCACTCTGAGCACCCGCTCTGGCTAGCTGAGCTGCTTTTCTCGGGGAGTCCTGAAGGACCCCCGTCAGTTCATCTGCGTGTTTCTCCTTCTTCCTCCCCCTCTAGGTTTTATTGCATCCGACATGACTTCCAGGAACTCCAGCACGCAGCTGTGGCTGATCACCCACTACCACGAGATGGGCTCTCTGTACGACTACCTGCAGCTGACCACGCTGGACACGGTGAGCTGCCTGCGCATGGTGCTGTCCATCGCCAGCGGCCTGGCGCACCTGCACATCGAGATCTTCGGCACGCAGGGCAAGCCGGCCATCTCCCACCGCGACCTCAAGAGCAAGAACATCCTCGTCAAGAAGAACGGGCAGTGCTGCATCGCCGACCTGGGTGAGTGCCTGCTGCTGCCCAGCCGGGGGGCGGGTGGCTGCGCTGGAGGAGCGAGGGGGGGCTGTGGGCCGGGGTGGTGTGTGTGTGCCCCCTGTCTGTGTGCCCGCAGTGCCCCCTGTCTGTGCTTCCTGTCTGTGTGCCCTCAGTGACCTCTGTGCCCCCTGTCCGTGTGCCCGCTGTGACCCCTGTGCCACCTGTGTGCCCACAGTGACCTGTCTGTGCTCCCTGTCTGTGTGCTAGCTGTGACCTCTGTGCCAGCTGTCTGTGTGCCTGCAGTGCTCCCTGTGCCCTGTCTGTGTGCCCGCAGTGCCCTCTGTGTCCCCTGTGTGCCCGCAGTGCTCCCTGTGCCCCCTGTCTGTGTGCCCACAGTGACCTGTCTGTGCCACCTGTCCGTGTGCCCGCAGTGCCCTCTGTGCTCCCTGTCCGTGTGCCCGTAGTGACCTCTGTCTGTGTGCCCGCAGTGCCCTCTGTGCCCCCTGTCTGTGTGCCCGCAGTGACCCCTGTGCCACCTGTCTGTGTGCCCGCAGTGACCTCTGTCCGTGTGCCCGCAGTGACCTCTGTGCCCCCTGTCTGTGTGCCCGCAGTGCCCTCTGTGCCACCTGTGTGCCCGCAGTGACCTCTGTCTGTGCCACCTGTCTGTGTGCCCACAGTGACCCCTGTGCCACCTGTCTGTGTGCCTGCAGTGACCTGTCTGTGCCCCTTTCCGTGTGCCCGCAGTGCCCTCTGTCCTTGTGCCCGCAGTGCCCTCTGTGCCCCCTGTCTGTGACCCGCAGTACCCCCTGTCCGTGTGCTTGCAGTGTCCCCCATCCCTGTCCCCCGTCCGTGTCCCCTGTCCGTGTCCCTGTTGTGGCTGCGCTGGAGGAGCGAGGGGGGCTGTGGGCCCGGGGTGGTGTGTGTGTGCTCCCTGTCTGTGTGCCCACTGTGACCTCTGTGCCCCCTGTCTGTGTGCCCACTGTGACCCCTGTGCCACCTGTGTGCCTGCAGTGACCTGTCTGTGTGCCTGCAGTGCTCCCTGTGCCACCTGTCTGTGTGCCCGCAGTGACCCCTGTGTCACCTGTCTGTGTGCCTGCAGTGACCCCTGTGCCCCCTGTCTGTGTGCCCGCAGTGACCCCTGTCCATGACCCCTGTCTGTGTGCCCGCAGTGACCCCTGTGCCACCTGTCTGTGTGCCTGCAGTGACCTCTGTCTGTGCCACCTGTGTGCCCGCAGTGACCCCTGTGCCACCTGTCTGTGTGCCCTCAGTGCCCCCTGTCTGTGTGCCCGCAGTGCCCTCAGTGCCCCCTGTCTGTGTGCCCGCAGTGCCCTCCGTGCCCCCTGTCTGTGTGCCCGGAGTGACCCCTGTCTGTGTGCCCGCAGTGACCTCTGTGCCACCTGTGTGCCCGCAGTGACCCCTGTGCCACCTGTCTGTGTGCCCGCTGTGCCCTCTGTGCCACCTGTGTGTGTGCCCGGAGTGACCTGTCTGTGCCCCCTGTCTGTGTGCCCGCAGTGCCCTCTGTCCGTGTGCAGTGTCCCCCATCCCTGTCCCCTGTCCGTGTCCCCTGTCCCTGTCCCCTGTCCCTGTCCCCTGTCCGTGTCCCTGTCCCCCGTCCGTGTCCGTGTCCCTGTCCCCGTCCGTGTCCCCTCGCGGGCGCTCCCGCAGTGCCCGCCGCGGCCGCCAGGTGGCGCCTGCAGCCCAGCCACGCTTTTGGGGCCTTTTCCTGGTTTTCCGTGCTTGAATCCCATTTCCGGATCCCAGAGCACGCGGCGCTCAGGCTTCATTTCTGGGACAGTGCGTGTCCTCCACAGACAGTCTGAGCCGTGTGCTCGCTGTCGCGGTGCCGTAGCTCAGTCAGCTCGCTGGTGCAGAGCGCTCGTGGGCCCAGAAGCAGTTCCCTGGGACCAGCTGGTTTGGAGTGGAAGCTCGAGGCACCCGTGCTGAGGAGCACTCACAGCAGTGTGCCTTGTTCACACCTTGGAGGGATGTCTGACAGTAACGGTTTTTTTGCTTTTCTCTGCAGAAAAGGGAGAAAATAGTGGTAGAACTGAATTGGGGCACTGTTGCCTAGGCAAAAAGTGTATCAGGGATGGGAATTTTTAAAATAGTAATTCTACTGCATAATTTCTGTCACTTGTGCCCGAGGGACTTGAGATACAGACAGGGAAAACATGAAAGCCACATACTTGGGCCTCTGGAAATTTGCTGTGGGAAGGGTAGCAAATGCAGCAGTAAGTTGGAAATACAAAGTGTTAGAGACTGGCTTTCAAATAAATTTGTAGTTCACTCTGAGGAGGTGCAGCACGTCCAGGCATTGATTGACCTGGCACTGGTACAGTGAAGTCTATTACACTCTTTATCTAGAGGTTTCAGATGTCTGAGAGACTTTTCTGAGAGAGCACAGCAGTAAACATTTCCCATTAGTTTTTATGGTGGTTAAAATAGCTATTTTTTAAAATGTGAGCTCTTCAGACCCATACCTGTCCCATTTTTCCTACGTTCCTGCTTTGTAAGGGAAGCTGACCAAAGAGTTTGTTGCTTGTGGCATGCATTCCTGCCCTTCCTGCTGTGGGCTCTGTCCTGTTTCCACTCTCGGGTCCCTTCCTGTCAGGGCCTGGAGCTGGGGCTGCCGTGGCACCCCGGGATCAGGAGCTGCAGCGGCTCACGTGTGCTGTGTGACAGAGTGACAGGATGTCATTCACTGCTGCTCACCCTGCCAGCTGGGAGCCTTGCTGTGTCCTTCCAAAGCCGTGCTGGTGTCTGGTGCAGGGCAGCTCTGCATGCCCAAGGGCCGTGTCACACCAGCAGGATGCTGTTTGGGAGCTGCAGCTGTGTCCTTCCAAAGCCGTGCTGGTGTCTGGTGCAGGGCAGCTCTGCATGCCCAAGGGCCGTGTCACACCAGCAGGATGCTGTTTGGGGGCTGCTGTGCCGTGGCTCAGTGCCCTGGGGTGGGCAGGACGTGCTGCCCATCTGCAGACAGCAGTGCTGCCCATCTGCAGACAGCAGTGCTGCCCATCTGCAGACAGCAGCGCTGCCCATCTACAGACAGCAGCGCTGCCCATCTGCAGACAGCAGGGCTGCCTCTGTGGGTGACAGCCCCTGCCTGCCCCCTGCGTGCCCCGGGCTCTGTGTGTGCTGCTGGCCTCCCTCAGCTGTGGGCCTTGACCTCTGGGCCTCTGCAAGCTGTTCGGCTTAGTTTGGGTGAAGTTTTACAACTTTTATCAGCGTGTTCTCCGAGGTCCTGATTTTTCCAGACTTGGCCAGAAAATGCGGTTTCTGACCTTTGTTTGCTGTTGCAAGCTTTTTTAAAGGAAAAAATTATAAACCATACATATTGTTTAATATAATCTAATATTAATTTAAAGTCGCACATAAAAGCACATGTGTCAGTATGAGACAGAAGTACTTGGATCTGGGAGCAGGCTTCTTCTCATCAGTCTGGGGTCGTGAGATGGTACATAAAGTGTCCCTGACAAGGGTGGGACAAACATTTTAGCAGTGCTTGTTGTGATAGGCCAAGGGGAGGTGGTTTGAAACTGAAAGAGGATTGATTTACATCAATGTAAGAAGTGTTTTACAGTGGGGGTGGGCAGGCCCTGGCACAGGTGCCCAGAGCAGCTGGGGCTGCCCCTGGATCCCTGGCAGTGCCAAGGCCAGGCTGGACAGGGCTGGAGCAGCCTGGGACTGTGGGACATGCCCCTGCCACGGCAGAGGGTATGACTGGATGAACTTTAAGATCCCTTCCAAACCAAAGTATTCTGTGATATTTCTAGAGGTGCCATAAGCCTATTCTTATCAGCTTGAAATATATTGAAGTGCATTTGAATTGCAGAAGAGTGTTTTCCAAAGTTTTATTGCGTTAAAGAACAGACTGTTCTTTGGAAAGAGAGGCAAATGAATGATCTGGTGATAGGTTAGTTTTTGTGGGACTGAGGTAAAAAGCCTTTTAAGGTTCACCTGAAATAAACTCCTGTTAAATGTAAATAGTATATGTCATTCTTAGAAGATTTGTTGAGGAAATTAGGGAGAGTTTGCGTCGCCCTCTCTGTCGCTTGGCTCTGCCATGCACCCACTGCTGCTCAATTTGCAGTGCTCTCTGTTTACCATGGCCAAATGAGTGCTCTGTGTGTTTCCAAATTTACAGTAATTTGGTCCCTCACATAATGTTCTCTGCTTAAATGTTTAGTAATTAGTAGAAACCAGGTAGAGTGGTTTTGTCTGACTCATTTTAGATCTGCTTGAGGATGTTTATTTTTCAGGTTGCTGCAAATACGGTGTTTTTGTTTTCCAGCTTTATTTTTTTTTAACTTGTGTGTATCCTTCGTGCAGTGTTTTTCTTCTCCTTTCCCCACAGTTCAGGTGTATCCACCTACCCAAAAGGTCTATAAATAAATTTGAATGCTGTGTAAAGTTGTTTTGTTCTGAGCAGCAGCTGTTTGGCCTCTGCGTGTCCGTGCCCAGAGTGCTGGGGACATCCAGTGGCTGCAAAACACTTCATGACAGTGTTTTGCAAGAGTGCAATAAAATGCTTGATGATAATCCCTTAGGAGATAGCGGGCCTGGCTGTGGCCCCAGGGGCTGGTTTTGCTGGCAGGTTTGGAGCTGACCCCGTTGCTCTTTGGGCCCTTGGCTCCTCTTTCAGAAACCGTCTGACGGGGTCGCTGCTCCGCGGCCCTTAGGCGCGTGCTGCTGCAGCTGAAGGGACCCTAACGCTTTGTTTTCTCTGTCCTTCAGGCCTTGCAGTCATGCACTCCCAAAGCACCAACCAGCTGGATGTGGGGAACAATCCCCGTGTGGGCACCAAGCGCTACATGGCTCCGGAGGTGCTGGACGAGACCATCCAGGCCGACTGCTTCGACTCCTACAAGCGCGTGGACATCTGGGCCTTCGGGCTGGTCCTCTGGGAGGTGGCCAGGCGCATGGTCAGCAACGGTGGGTGCCTGGGGCTGCTTCCCTTGGCTCCAGGAGAGCTGGCCACGGGGGAATTCACAGCCCAGCAGCGCGCTGGGCCCCGCACTGCTCCGATCCCTGACACGCCAGGGAGCTGTTGGTGTCTTGGGTGCAGTGGGTCATGCCTGTTGCCGCTCCTGTCAAGGCACAGAGAACAGAGTCCCTGCTCGTTCTGAGTCCTGGTGGGACATATTCGGAGCAAATAGCTAAGTTAAAATTTTAGATCAGAAGGTCTCTATCCTTCTGTCTTGTGTCATTAAACCATAGTGATTATTTGTAGGTGTCTGTTTCTCATGACAGACCCTAAAAGACAGAGAAAGAAAGGCAGTGCAGAAGGTATCAGAATTCAGGACTGCTTCTGCTTTACCAAGTTGGAAAGTAGCACTGGCCTGTGCACAGGTACAGGTCTGGTACTGGACACAGGTACAGCTCACAGAGGCTTTACCTGAGCTGCTCTTGGACAAGAAAGGGTGGATGGTGCTGGCAGCTTCCCCAGGTTGGTGTGGACCTCATGGGACTGCAGACCTACCTGCTTATAGGTGCATGCTCTGGGGATTTGATTCTGAGCTCAGTGCCACCATGGGAACACTTCAGGTGATGCAGATCTGTCCCTGCATTGGTCACACCAGGACAGTGTGAAGTTTCAGGTGCTGGTGACTCTAATTGCACAGGACCAGTTGCTCTGTGCACCTGGCTGTTGCTGTAAGTCATTCCATGCCCTTGCACTGGTTGGGATGGAGTAAACATCTTCCCTGGCCTCCGTGTGTTGAGCTGTGTGGGAATCATTGCTGGTCAGGTGGTCATGCTGATAACCCTGTTTGCTTTGCAGTGAGACTTTGGCACTGGGAGTGAGCCTGCAGGAGCAAGGGAGGGTGGTGTCTTGGGGGGCCAGAGGCACTCATCAGCTCCCTGTGCTCTCCTGGGCTCGTGGGCAGCCTTCCAGTAACTCAGCTCACAGAGACCTTGAAATTGTTCTAACATGACTACTAAGTCTGGTAGTTAGTAATTTTTATTTATTTACTCTAATTTAATTTTTTTTATTTTTAAAAACTTACCCAGTGATCTTCCAGGTGACACAATGGTTCTTTGTATTTTCTTGTTTAATAAGAGGAGGGAAACGTGATAGGAAACTCCTTTGGCACAAAGAACTACTTGTGTGTTGTCTGTGTGCTGCAGTAGGAGCCAACCAGCATTTTCTCTGTACTCAGAATGTGATTTTGGTCCCCAAAGCTGTGTTTGCCTCCATTCAAATGGAGCAGTGCTGGTTCCCTGTAGGGTGTCCCCTGCTCTTGGAATGTGCTCCCTTGGTTCAGCACTTACCTGGAGCCTGGCACTCACAGCTCACATCCTTGGGAGTTGTCATGCTTGTTCCCAGGGCTGTGACACCAGAAGCTCAGAGGTTGTTCCTGCTCAGAGGAACCCTGGTTGTTGTTCCCGTGCTTTGTGTCAGGTTGAGCAGTGAGACTTGTCCAGGACGAGCTGGACTTAAAGTCAGCTCAGGGCCATGGACATGTCCCAGGGCTGGAGCCAGGCTGGGCAGCTGGGGGTGCTCACCTGGAGAAGGCTCCAGGCAGAGCTCAGAGCCCCTGGCAGAGCCTGAAGGGGCTCCAGGAGAGCTGGAGAGGGACTGGGGACAAGGGATGGAGGGACAGGACCCAGAGGGCAGGGATGGATGGGAGATTGGGAAGTTCTTCTTGGCTGTGAGGGAGGTGAGGCCCTGACAGAGGGTACCCAGAGCAGCTGTGGCTGCCCCTGGATCCCTGGCAGTGTCCAAGGCCAGGCTGGATGGGGCTTGGAGCAGCCTGGGTTAGGGCAGGGGGGGCTCTGCCATGGCAGGGGTGGAATGGGGTGGGATTTAAGGTCCCTTCCCTCTCAGACCATTCTGGGAGTCTGTGAAGTAACAAGGAGCAAAGGTAAGAAGCCACTGTGGCGCCTGTGGATTGTAGGTGGCTGGAGAGCAGCAAGCCAGCAGCCCCAGCAGAGCAGGAGGGTGTGCTGGCAGTGCCAGGAGTCAGCTCCAGGCAGGGCAGGAAGCCCAGGCTGTGGCTGTCCCCGGGCAGCGGGCGAGGGCAGCGTGTCCCGGGTCAGGGACGTGCTGTGGGACAGAGGTCGGGTGGCTCCTGGCACCACGAGGGCTCCCGCCAGGCTGGACAGAGCTCGGAGCGCTCCGCAGCCACCACTGGAGTAAAGGCCAGCCCTGCTGCCTTTGTCTTAGGACTGCGTGTCTTTGCAGCAGCCAGTTGTGTGTCCCGTGCTGGGGAAAGAGCACATGACAGCAGTGAAGCAGAGCCAGCGCTCCCTGCAGAGATAAAGTTCATCTGTGATGTCCTCGTGGCCCTGGGAGCGTGTCCAGAGCTGTGTGACAGCCGGATCTGGGCGCTGATCCCTCACCAAGCCCTGGCCTTACCTGCAGGACAGGTGTGGCAGCAAGGGCACGGGGGGGGTTGTGTTCATGAGGTCTCACAGTAAAGGGGATTCTTAAGGTAGGAATTGAGCCCAGCAGGTGATGTTTGGTAGTTGTGGTTGGGAATCGCTCTGAGCAGGAGGGTGGGTGACGCTGTCACATGTCACTTGTCCTGTGTCCATGTCAGAACAGCACCGGGCAAACTGCAGGCTGCCTGGTGCTTCTGTGGGAGCTTGCTTGGGTAGCCAGGTCTCCAAAAATTGCCCTACTGCTCTCCAAGGCACTTGTAATCTCCTGTTTCCCTTTTTGACTAATCATCACAGACAGGGGTTTACAGACTTCTGTGGAGTATGCACAGGAATATCTATGGACTTTGATCTTCATCTCCAGTAGAACAGGAAAACTAGAATTCAACTGCTGTAGGAAAGATTGAAAACCTCTTTTCAGTTTCAGGGTATCCAAAGCAGCAGAGATTCTCCTGGATTTCATGTCTGGCTGTGGGACAGCAGATTTCAGTCTGTTGAATTGCTGTCAGCAGCAGCTATTTGATGTTCCTGCTGGACACAGAGGGCCTCATTAGCTCTGGCTTTTCCCACACTGCTGACCCAGATGCCAGTCTTTGAACACCAGTTTGTAAATTGGCTTCCTGAGGAGGCTGGGCTCCCTGCAGATGGTTGGTGAGCCTGATCCAGTGAGGAATCAGAGAGCTGCATGTGTGTCCTGGGGAGCAGGCAGGAGGGCTCCAGCCTGGCAGTTCTGTGAGCGGGTGACGGGCTGGGGCAGCTCACACACACACACACAAGGGTTTCAGTGCCAAACCCTAGGACATGGCCTGGTTGGTGGTTTCAAGACCAGGCTGGATGGGGCTTGAAGCAACCTGGGACAGTGGAAGATGTTCCTGCCCATGGCAGGGGTGGAATGAGATGGGCTTTAGGGTCCCTCCCAGCCCAAACCAGTTTGTGATTTTATGAAGATGCATTGAACTCCTAGTGCCACAGGCTCTTGGGTGTTTGGTTTTGTGATGGCATGTGGTGCCAGTTACCCTGGGGATTTTACTGTTTTCATAGCAAGGAATGAAATGCTTTGAAGCACCAGCTTGAGGGTCTGTGGATGCTGAAATGCCTATTGGACTCTTTCAGGAATTACAGAAGCACCAAAGTGTGTGTTGAGCCTGCTAGAAACCCCAGTACAGACTTTACATTTTCCCATTTGCTCGTAGAAATCCCAGTTTTTGGTAGGCAGGAAAGCTGTGTACATTACAAAACACAGCCCTTTGGCAAGGGATTTAGTTCTCCTCCTTTCAGCTGCAGCATCTGCAAAGTGGGTATAGCTCATACTTTGTGGACTTACAATATGAGCCAGTTAATTAACCTTTGAGTAGAAGAAGCTGTTCCTGGGGCAGTGAGAGCTGTTCTGTTGTTCGGAGGCTGCATGGCCTGTAGGGCTGAGTTCTAAAGGATTTCTGTGCCTCTTGGACAGGTGGGTTTTGTGTTCCCTGTGTCCCTGCAGAAATGCTGCTCACTGTCACCGTCATTGAGTGATGTCTGTTTGTGTCTCACCAGGAATCGTGGAAGACTACAAACCACCCTTTTATGACTTGGTTCCGAACGACCCCAGTTTTGAAGACATGAGGAAGGTGGTCTGTGTGGATCAGCAGAGGCCCAACATTCCCAACAGATGGTTCTCAGACCCGGTCAGTGTGTGCTGTCTCTCTGGCACTGCCAGGGAAGCTTTCTCCGTTGTCACTCGCTGGGGAGGCTCTCGATGGCCTCATCAGGGCTGGGGTGTGCTGGCCTGCCTTGGGGAGCACTGAGCACGCAGCTGCCAGGTCTGAGCCACTCACAGACTGGCCTCTTGGGAACGTGATTTAGCAAAAAACCTTACAGCTGCTTTTCCTGGTGGTTGTTTTCCCTCAGAGGGGAAGGGAAGGGAAGAGAAGCTGTCCAGGGCTTTCTGTGGCTTACAGGCACACACAAGAGAATGCTGGGCTTTCCTGCTTGCAGGATAGGGGCTGTTGTTCTTTTTCAGACTGATGCTCAAGTTAATTTTTCTTCATCAGTATCAGTCTGGCCTCTCCAGGCTGCCCAGCTGTTTTGCCCTTCCCCTTGGAGCTGGGGAAGTCAGTTTGAAATCTGTAGGGCTGGGCAGGCAGAGTGCCCATCTCTGAGGTTTGGGTGTGGAGCTGTGCCCTGTGCTGGGAGCCCAGCCAGTTAAATCCTGCTGGGCAGGATGAAATCACAGACAGAACCTTCTCAGCTGCCTTTGTGGGTCTGCTGGAGTTGGTTTCATTGAAGAGAAATTCTGTGTAATGTTTACTTAGAAAAACCCCAGCACTCAGTTGTTTAAAGGTGTACTAGCTGGTGACTCCAGTCAGCCCATGGGCCAGTTGTGCTCTTGGTTTAATCAAGTTATCAGATTCAGGAGCTTTTCAAAACATGTAAGCTCTGTACTTGATAAACAGTGGGAAGCCCTGAGAATGGGGTGTTCATTAGGCAATAAAACCCCTCTGTGTGGGTGCTTGGCCCCCGCCAGTGCTTCCTTGCCTTGCTATTTGTGAGTGACCCTGTGCTGTGTGGTTTCTGTTCTTCCCCAGACGTTGACGTCCCTTGCCAAGCTGATGAAGGAGTGCTGGTACCAGAACCCCTCGGCCAGACTGACAGCCCTGCGCATCAAAAAGACTTTGACCAAAATTGACAATTCCTTGGACAAACTGAAAGCTGACTGTTGACCTCTCCTCGTGGTGCTCTCCCGGCAGGAAGGCGCTGGGCTGGCCCGGAGGCTCTGGCCAGGCAGTTCCTAGCCCTGGTCCCCAAGGAGCTCTGGGGGGCAGCTGGGGACCCCACTGCCCCGAGCACACCTGGGCGAGCGCCGAGGACTCAGCTGGGCGTGCTGTGGCTGAGCTAGTGGCCTGAAGGAAGACAGAGAAATCCTAAGACAAGATCAGGGGAATGAGATGGGCTTTAGAACGAACTCCTTTACTTTTTTTTTTCTTTTTTTTTCCTTTTTTTTCCCCTTTTTTTTTTTTTTTTTTTCTCCTTTTTTTTCCCTTTTTTTTTTTTTAATACTTTATTTTAATTCTCCTAATCACTCCCAAGGTGAACACATGGAAGTGGTAAATTTTAATCAGCAATATTGCCTGTGCTTCTCTTCTTTATTGCACTAGGAATTCTTTGCATTCCTTACTTGCACTGTCACTGTTAATTTTAACGACATGACTTGCCAAAAATATGATTGGCTGTATCCTGCATTGATCTATGCCTGAGTAATAGGAAAAGAATTCGGTAAACTGAAAATATAACAGTCAGACTTTAGCTGCATTTTACATGTGTACTGATGTTTACAATAATGCTGAACATTAGGAAATTCTTGTTTATCCAAAACTTGCAAATTATTTATTACTAGTGCACTTGACAGTTTTTTAAACTGTAAGATAAGTGCATAAAGTTAAAGCTTATTTTTATGTGGCCTCTTTCATGATTTCTTACACAGACGTTTTTGTAACACAATATAACCTGAAACATGAATTGTTTTCTGTATTATCATATTACAACTCGATAGTCACATTTTAAGTGCTTCACATTTGTAGGTGTGTGGTCTGTACCATATTTTCAGTTGGAATATGGAACGTATATAGCCACTTCCCCCAGGACCTTGTGTCTGGCATCTTAGTGATCTGGGAAAGGACAGCAGTGGAGGAGTTAACTAGAATATTAGGTCATGAATGCTGTGGGGAAAATGCATTTTATTTCTTCTAAGCTATATAATATGCATTTAAACTCTGCCAGAAAAATAACTATTTTGTTTTAATCTACTTTTTCTATTTAGTAGTTATTTGTATAAATTAAATAGAATGTTTTCAAGTCAAACGTGGGAGTGTTTCAGTTGTGTTACTGCCTGTCAGTGAGCAGGTGTCCCCGCAGGGTCCCGGGGGCTGCTGGTGCCCTGCCAGGTGCTGAGGCTGCAGAGGTGCAGCAGGAGGTGCAGCAGGAGGTGCAGCAGGAGGTGCAGGGCTCTGCCTGGATCTGTCCCAGCCCTGGGGCCGGTTCGGTGGGCACCAAGGCTTCCCATCACTCTCCATCCCCCTCTCCATGCCCTCCTTCCTTACACCCCGTGGGGCAGCAGGAGTGGCAGTGCCCTCTCACCCGTGGGGAAGAGCTCTTGCATTCACAGGCTTGGGATCCCCCGGGTGACTCTGGGCGGAGAGTGCCTTGGATCACCTGGGGGATCCCAAGCCTCTCCACGCTTCCCCTCTGGGCTGAAGCACTTCCCTGAGGCTCCCTTCAGCTCTACCAGGTTCTGCTCTGCTGCCTCTCTGTCGCTTTTCCTGCTCAGCCCCATCCTCCCTGTCCCGTGCCAGCCGAGCGCGGTGCCTCGTTCCCGGTGCAGGAGCAGCAGCAGCAGCCAAGTGTGTGGGGTAGGTGCTGCCTGGGGCTGAGAGACGGCGTGGAGCTCTGCAGAGCCGCAGCTGGCACCGGCTGACAGGTCTCTAATTATATGTGATGAGAAAAAAACCAGGAGAAGTGGGATTCGATGAGTTTTTCTCTTAGCTTGTAACAGGAGTTCAAATGCCTGAACGTGTTTAGGTTTGCCCCAAGCTGGTGTGTGTGAGCTGTGCCCTGGGATGGGCTCTCAGTGTCAGGGAGTCGGGGCTGGGCTGGCGCTGCTGGAAGGGGGAGCTCGCTGGTGACAAGCACAGCTGTGAGCAGAGCAGCCAGTGCTGGGAGCTCTGTGGGCACTGCCTGAAGCTTGCAGTGGCCCTGCTGGGACAGCTGCCTTTCTGGAGCCCCTGGTGGGACGGGCAGCAGGACTCAAACCGAGCGGGAGGCAAGGCAGGCTCTTGTGGAGGCGCTTGGGGTGAGGCCAGCAGGGTGTCTGGGCAGGCTGGGGGGACAGGAGGTGGCACTGCAGAGTGGGGACAGGGGCAGAGGTGGCAGTTCAGTGTGAATGTGGTGTGTGGGGTCAGGTTTTGGTTGGAGTTTTCACCTCTCCAGTGTTTTCCAGCGCAGGGCTTGGAAGAGAGAGGGAACCTGCTGTGCTGAAGGGTTAGTGACAGCTCTGGCTGTGCTGCTGGAAGCTGGGCTGCGTCCCTCCAGCCCTGCCACTGAGTCACAGCATCTCACTGGGCATTAGGGAGATGGGTAAATAGCTGTTAGATACCTGCTCCAGCTCTTCTTTGCACTGCAGCATCCTCTGCAAAGGGCTGTGTCCTAGAGCAGCGCTGGCTGCAGGCTGGGAGCAGCTCTGGGTGGGGTTTGGGTTTTCCAGCCCCAGCGCTGGGTGCTGGCTGTCAGCTGTGCTGGGGCTGCTTGGGATGCTGCAGGATACGGGGCCTGCAGCAAGAACACCACGGTTCTCTCTCCACCCCTGTCAGGGAATTGTGCAGAGACACAAGGTCCCCCCGAGCCTCCTTTTCTCCAGACTGAGCCCCTTTCCAGCTCCCTCAGCTGCTCCTGGGGCTCCTTTCCCTTCTCTGAACACACGGGATAACCAACAGAAGGATAAAACCACAACCACGGGAACACCCCAGTAATACTCTTTATCCTGTGTCAGGTAAAGGAGATTATCTGGAAAAGCCACTGGTAGGGTAGCAGAGTCTGTCAGTGCTGGGAGTCCTGGGCACTCCTGGGTGTGCTGGGCAGGGTCACAGTCACTGCTGCTGCTCTGAGAGTGCCCTCTGCATAGCAAAGCATCCAGGGCTTATTTTAAACATTTTTCACTTTCCCCCCTGCTACTGAATGCTTCTGGTCCAGGCATCGACCAAACTATTTGAAGTGTTAGCTAGTGTGTGTGTTGGAATTGTTTTGCTATTTGGCAAATGTGAATCAAGAAAGTGAAGAGGAAAGTGATCACTGGGAGTTATTTCTTGGCAAGTTCTCATCCCTTGGTTGGGATAAGTCAGGCAGCACTGTGCTGTCCTGGTGTGCAGCTGCTGCTGAGGACAGGCAGGGTCTGTGCGGCCCAAAGCCAGCGGGAATAACCGGGAGCTGGAGTGTGGCAGGCCTGGGAGCAGAGAAGGGAAAGCTCGGTGACAGCCGGGAAGTGCTGCCTGTGTGATTTACCCTCGTCTCCAGGTGTCTGCACGGTCACAGGAGAACATTTGTTGCTGCTTTTCCCTGGAGGTGCCTGGGCACAGGGGGAGGTTCCACGTGAAGGGAACACCCCAGCCTCCCATGCTGCTTTCCAGCGCGTTCATTAATCACTGTTCCTCTAGTACCTCCACAAAAATCTAATCTTCTAAAGAGATTTGGAATTCTTATACATAATCTGCTGCAGTCAGGGCGTCGCTGCCTTTATTACTATGGCGATGGCACAGGCAGTTCCCTGCTGCTGCTGCTGAATTATTCATGTGTCTGGCGGGTTTGCACTGCACCAGCCAGGACAGAGCTGCTCCAGCCCTGCCTGCTGGGGATCTGAGCCTGCTGGGGGAGGCCCTGCCTGGAAAAAGGGCTCTGATGAGCAGCACTGCCCTGGGGTTCAGCTGTCCTGCCGGTGGGGACGGTCCCCAGCAGTCACGCGAGGAAGGCTGGATGGCACCAGAGGTGTGTCAGGTTTTGAGGGGAACAGGAAATGTAGATTTTTTGTTTGGATTTCTGTTGCCCAGAGAGGCTGTGGCTGCCCCATCCCTGGAGGTTTCCAAGGCCAGGTTCAATGGGGTTTGAGGCAGCCGGGGATAATGGAAGATGTCCCTGCCATGGCAGGGGAAGGAATGGGATGGACCTTCCAACCCAAACCATCCTGTGATTCCACGATTCCATACACAGGAGGCTGGTTTGTTACTGGTCAGGAATATGGGGCACTCCAAGGTGTCCTGGGGACAGACAGCTGCTGGGAGCAGCCTCAGGCTGGGCACTGAGAAGTCACTGAAGGCTTCCTCCCCTTCAGCTGGAACTTCCCTTGTGGGCCTTCTGGGCTGGAATTATCCATCAAAAATCCATATGAAGGCTTCCAGAATTTTATTTACCTGAATTAAACTGTTTTGATAGGAACAGTTCTCTTCCCTGTGAGGCAAAATGTCTGCTGTACAAAATGCTGAGCCTTGGCGCAGTGCTTGGCACTGGAGAAAGGAAGCAAAGACAGTCCAGGTGCTGTTCCATTTATAGAGAGAGAATCTCAAGCACAGCATACATTTAAAAGATAAGGTCTGTGTGGGAAAAGTAAGTGTTTCATCCAGTGTCGAGCTACTGAGGTACTGTAGCAGGTGCTCTCACCTGGGAATAGCACCTGGGCCTTACATTCCCAGTTAGAAGGAAAAACCCCAGCACCCTTCAGTGCCTGGCCCACGGAGCTGTGCCAGGACAGAGCCAGAGCCTGCCAGGGAGGGCCGAGCTCTGCTGGACCCAGCTCGTGTCCAGCCAGCCCCTCCTGGAGGAGCAGGCTGCAGGTGAGGGCTGGGACCTGCCCCATGGCTGCGGCTTCTCAGGGGGCACGGCCTTGTCCTGCAGCCCAGGGTGTGTGAGCTGTGTGCTGCAGCCCCTGGGTGTGTGTGATGTGTGCTGCAGCCCTGGGTGTGTGTGCTGTGTGCTGCAGCCCCTGGGTGTGTGAGCTGTGTCCTGCAGCCTCTGGGTGTGTGAGCTGCAGCCCTGGGTGTGTGTGCTGCAGCTCCTGGGTGTGTGTGCTGTGTGCTGTGTGCTGCAGCCCCTGGGTGTGTGTGCTGCAGCTCCAAGATGCTGTGTCCTGCAGCTCCTGGGTGTGTGAGCTGTGTCCTGCAGCCTCTGGGTGTGTGAGCTGCAGCCCCTGGATGTGTGAGCTGCAGCTCCTGGTGCTGTGGGAGGGATCTGCCGGGGCTTTGGGACACCTGGCCCTGGATCACCCTGCTCTGTGCCAGCCCGACTGCGTGGGGCTCGGGGCCAGGGCTGGGATGGTGCCTGACCCTGGATCACCCTGCTCTGTGCCAGCCCGACTGCGCGGGGCTCGGGGCCAGGGGCCGGGATGGTGCCTAT